TACATACACGCACACACACGCGCGCGCGCGTGTGTGTGTGTGTGTGCATTACTTTTATACAAATAATTAATAACTAAATAATAATTAATCCTCTTTTTTTTTATGTAAGTCGAGAAAAATTTTAAAAATTAATATTTTTTATTATATGTTGAATGATAAAAGACTTTGAATTGAATTGGTGACAGGAATATAATGGTGTAATTGTATAAAATAAAAATACTAAAATTAATCTATCAAAAATAATAGCAGTCTCTTAAAAAACCTTCTTTATAATTTTTTTTGTGATCACAATCTCTAAATCAAAAATCATTGCACTACTCTCAAATGTGAATATTTTAATCTTTAAAGATCAAAACAAAATAATTTAACATAAATCAATTTTTCACAAATTAAATATTTTATACGTTGTAATCTTAAAATTTTATAATTTTAAATATTTCATTTTTTGATTGTTTTTAAAATTATTTAAATAATAAATTATTTTAATATTGAAAATTATTAATAAAATTAATTATTTAATAAAATTTAATGTTAATCTTTGTATAATTTTAAATATTTTTATTATATTTAGAATGCTTTTTTAAATCTTTACATACTTTTAAAAAAATATTATATATAGGATTCTAAAAATTAACAAGTAAATATTTAAAGTATGAAGCAAATCTCTAAAGTTAGCTTTCATTTTTTGTTTATTATGTTGTATGTATTATGTATGTATTTTGTTTTGTTTATGTTATAATTATTTTTAATAATTATTTAGAAAAGAGATCTTCCATCTTACCAAATATCAAAATATATATATTCATAATCCTAAATAATTTCCTATACATAAAGTTATGATTTTATTGACAATAAACAAAAAATAAATCATTTAATAAATTTTCTTTGATTCATTAACAAAATGTTAAACTTGATTCTCAGAAAATTTAAAATTAGCTCCAGATATAGAGGACAAATTCGAGAAAGATTTGTTTTTACAGCAACATAGATCCCCACCTCTCTCATTATTGTCTAGCCGTAACGTCGGGATCTCAGCCTCACCCCTTGACCCTTTGTGCGGCGCAAAATGTTCTTCGTGTTCACCCACATCCGACGAAAGGAAGCTCTGCTTCCAAGGAACAGCAACACCGCGGCATTCCGGAAGGGCTTCATTGCGTGCGTCAAACAAAATTGACGCTTCACAGGATGAAGTACGACACTACGTACAATTTTACCTTATACGTGGTTAGTAATTACAACTAGAGAGGAGTAAATTTTATAATAATTGCCTGCAATATGTGATTTTGAGTAAATTGGAAATATTGAGCTGGTGGGAAAGTTATGTAGATTTTTAATAAGAAATAATTTGAAATATGAAAATGTTGTTTATAGTACTTATAATTTCATTTCATAGAGAAGAATAATATTTTCTCTTAAAAAATACAATATTTTTATCTGAATTTAAAAATCAATATAGATTAAGTAGTTGTAACAGTTAAGATAACGTATTTCTATATTTAATGATTATTATACAGAATATTAATATATATTTATGAGATACTCTTGGAAGATTCTAAAGATCAAAATAAACAAGAATATCAATTAAAGCTTATTTATTGAATATGGAATTTAAATTTGATGAAACGAGATGAAAACAGATTTGTTATAGAGATAAAACTATCTCATTCTGTTTCTGTCTCGCTTTGTTTAATACAAAATTGCTTATAATTTAATAAAATAAATCTTAATTAATATTTTTATATTTCTATAAATGTTTACTTCATCCTTTTAAATCGAATATCTCCAAAAATATTCGAATATATCTATTAACATTCTATATGAGTTTAAAGAAAATATAAATAAAAATATTCTTATGGAAAATATTTTCTATGTTATTGAAATAAATATTACGTGTCAGTATATCGTGTATTTTATTTTAATTTGATAAGCTATTACAATTTAATAGTAAAATTATTCATGTAATAAGTAAACAAAATTTATTAGTAGACTATATAACAATCTTATAAAATTTTACATAAAGTTTAAATAATGTCAAAGTTATATATAATAAAGTTATATATTATGTATATCGTAGTAATTGTATTTAAAACTCAACATTATTTTCTCACTAACTTGATAAATTGTTTTTTCTCATTATAAATAGATGAAATATAAAATTTCTTCAAAAATTTTTATTTATATTACTTTTTAAATCATTGTATTTTTTTTTTTATTTATTAGGATAAAGCAAGATTGGAAGTAACATTGACTTTGTAATATAATAACAAAAAAACTATTATATCCTATTTAAAATTTTTACTAAGTAATATGTTATATTTTATTAAATTACTGCTGCACTTTATGATAAATAAAAATAAAATTATTAATAATATTTTAATACTGGATTATGATCCTCGATTCTAGATCAATTATAACAATAACAATATCTCTCTGAATTTATTATGGATATATTTTTTGAATGACTTGATCTCTTCAATCTATTCTATCCTAATATATTTTAAAAATAATTTAATTTTCTTCTAATCTATTAATTCTAATCTATTAATAAAATAATTTAATTATCTTCTAATCTTCTAATCTAATTTTCTTAATTTACTTCTGAAGTTCGATGGTTGGTTCATTTTTAATTCAAATCAACGATAACTCTAAATAATCAAAATTAATAAATTTGTATTTATATGTATATTTATATTTATATTTTTCAGTTTTCACTCGACCATCGCACTCTATAACTTATAGTTGAAAGGAATTCATAAAATGATTTATTATTATTATAATCATTATTATAATCATTATTTTTATTCTGTGTTAAAGGTAAATACACGAAATAATGTATCGAACCGTATAGCGACTGATACCATAAAATTTCGGAAAACATCGGAGTTAAGACTGCGCACTGGGCATTATAGCACAGCCAATTTGCGTAAAACCGATGGATTCGTCAATTTCTTTTATCGTCCTCCAGCAAATACTTCAAGTACCTTTTATATTCTTCCTTGCGGTGGCGGCATCGTTAGAGCAAAATTAAGTGCTCCAGGAATTTTAAGGGTAATAAACCATGTTCCAGTTATAATTAATATATATTTACAGGTCTTCGTTAAAAAAAAATAAAAAATCAATTTTTATTTTATTTTTACTTTAACATTATAATGTTAACTATTCGTTTAAATTTGTATTTAATGGAATGTAATTACAATTTTATTGTAAGCAAAATATTAAATATTTAAGATCTTATTATAGACCTATATATATTTACTTGAATCCACTAATTCTTAGTATATTCTTATGTTTTATATTTTTATAACTTTAAAATATAAAATAAACAAATTTTAAAGCATATAGAAATAATCATTTTTCTGAAAATATCAAAACTATATAATTTTTAAATTTATAATTAAAGAAAAATTTTATTTTGAAAATTCTATAAATATAATAATAATCTTAAAAATTAGAAACTAGAAGTTTACAAATTAATTTTTTGAATTATTAGAATAATTTATAATAAATGTTTTTTTCATCACTTTTAAATATCTATTATGTTTTTGAGAAATATTTCATTTTTATTAGATATGATATTTCATATCATTACACGAAAAGTCGTTGATGTTAGATATCAATGTCATAGAAGATTTACATTTGTAGGAAAAGGAGGTAATAGGATATGCATCATTAAGGGTACCACCTTTAACTTCAGGGAAAGGATACACATTACGGATATCCGCTACACCACAAGAATTAGTACGAGTATCTGCCATTAAAGTACTAGCTACCCAAGAATCGTCTGCCATATATCCACAGGTATGTTCATACAAATTGATACGTACTGAATAAAATCCATTAAAAGTGTAAAATTATTTTCTAAGTACGCTCTATGTTTAATTTTAATAAAAATATATATATAAAATTTAGTAACAGATTATTGTATTCCAATAAAAATTATTTTAAGAACAGCAATTATATCAATATTGTTTTACATTATACTAATATACAGTAATATTTATGCAATATTTATTACTGTAATATTTATTCTTTTTACATAATATACTTCTTCTATTTTTTATTCTATGTGAAGAATGTATAAAAAGAAATTTTCTCTTTCATTTAAAATTGTATATAATAATACTTTTTAATATTTTCTAAGAAAAAAATAAATTAAATATTTCGTTAATAAAAATTTGATTTCTGACATAATGTTATTAATTTCTAATGAAATATCTATTATTTAATTATATAATAAATAAATGTATGTGTATATATATATATATATATATATATATATATATAT